GGTGGCCGTGGTGGTGACCGTGTAGTACCCGGGATACAGTTGGTGTAGGACTGCTGCTCAGAATCTCACTGACATCGCCACAAGCATCGGTGCCCACCATCAAAGAAGAGACGCGGCTATTTCCTCGTGTAGACAGCTCGTGCTGCTGTTGTTGATGTAGTAGTTGCTTTTGGAGTTGCAACATTTGCTGCTGTTTGGCTTCTCGACGACGAGCCCGCTTTGTAATCTCCTTCATGTGCTTCGGACCAGGACCCTGTTTACTGTCCAGAACCTGTATAGAGTGAATGTCACTGACTATTATTTTCCAATCAGCAAGGCTTCTACATTACAATGTTTACGCCTTTGTAATCATAAAATGGGACTGAGATTGAATTTGATTGTTAGATAGAATGTACAGGAGTAGTGCTTTTATCATTCAGGGGTTGACTTGATTAACGCACATAAAAGTGACGGCAACAGATAGATATACACTAATGACAGCGTTGTTAAAAAATAAGGAATAGTACTATTCATTTTGCCATGGACATGGGATTTTATCGGCAAGGGAAAGTATAAATTTTATTTGCATAGAAGTACACCGCCTCGAAACAAGGTCAATGCAATGCAGATCCATAGGGAGGGAATAGGGCTACGCACAAATCTAGGCGAAGGGGAAAACCCCTAACAACTGGCTAGCAGGACTTGGGGTTTTTACCTCTATGACTGAGAGCATGAATTTGTAAATCGAAGTAACAGTGACCTCAAAGTTGTAGATGAAGAAGTATTATAAAATCTACTTGAAAAAGAATACGCAGATGAGATTTAAATGAAGTGGTAGAATTGGGAGCCGAGAGAACAGAAAATCAGTTCATTAGCGCATGCAAGTGAGTAAGAGGACATCGTAATCTCACCTGGGATTTCAAATAGCACCTTGGTGGCCTAAATGGGAGCGACTGCTAAACGAGGGGAATCGGGATTAGACATACGGGAGATTCATGTTACGACCTGCTGGTGTGATCCGTGTGGGACCATTCATACGGCAAGTTAAACATTCACTAAAGTACAATGATCCACATAGTTGGATGGAAAAATGTGACATCAGAACAGGTTGACATTTAGACCAGGAGAGGAGGGACTTGTTAAAAAGGTCGAAATAAAACTGGCCGACTGCATTCCATTCATATGAAAGAGTTGAATTGCACGCCTTCTGATATTCATTTTTAAAGAGAAAAATTAGTAACCGATTAAAGGACAACTCGAGGGGAAGCTTAAAGTACAAACGAATACACGCACACACGTGCGAACGTGTGAAGGCAATGCGTGTGTGTGCGGACCAAAACACAACAGCGCAAAATGGAGTATTCAAGCGGGTCAAGGCAGAAAACGCCTATCAATGAGGATGCTAAGGGATGCAGTACCAAGTAGTAAGTGCTACACATGCAATCTTAAACACGGGCTAAAAGTGAATAATACGTCACCAAAATACCAAGGGATGCTTTGTGTACGTTTGCTAATGCTATAAATCCTAAACAGACTGTTTTATCAGATGGAAGGTGGATTCAAAAAGTGGGTGGGAGAAGCATGATTTCAATAACGCCAGATGTTACCTGGAGGATCGGTCCTAGAACTCTGCCTGTGTTATGTGCCTTCCACAGCTACATAATCAAATGAACTTCCAGGAATTACGTTGATGGTGTAAGGGGAACCTTAAGTTCTTGTTTTACCAAATCGGAGTACAAGACAGACCAACATACGAATGCGGTATTTCAAGTAGCAAAACGTTAATGAAATCAATTACAGGAGCAGGAAAGCTTCCTTACGTCGTGTCTAGGTGCTTAGAACGTACGACTATTGTGCGTTAGCAATCCCTCCATCCCTTGAAACTAGAACATATTGTGTGATTAGGCAACGTTCAAACAAGCCCTAACTTTTAAAGCGGTCAACCTGATTTGATTGCATGACACACGAGCTTGCGTCGTCTTGTGGGAGGGTGATTGCTTCACCTACTCATCCTTGTATGCAAGGGCGTAGAAACTCTAGCTGGCAGCGTATGAAAGTTTGTTTTGCTAGACTTAGATTGTGCAGACTGCAACAACGGGCAATCTCATTTTCTCCACTAAAAAGACACTTCTAAACTGTCCAGGTTTCAAATTCTCATCAATTACACTTTATCCAACCAACACGCCTCCGATGTAGGCAAAGAAACCAAGTAGTATGGAACTGAATTTTATGTTCATAATATAAAAGCCAGAGATGCGAAGGGGTCTAAGAAGGATACCTTTGATGGAAATGGAGGCGGACGTGAAGTCCTTACCCATGCAAGCGCAGTTGGAGGGAAAAGCGTTTTATGGCAGTAGTCTTAGGTCAAGGTATGAATGGCTAGAATCGCTGCGACATGAAGACATGAGCATGTTAATGTTTAACAAGCACTCAACACGCATAAATGCGTCATTTCGTACGAATATGCAATCACAGATGCGACTGATTTCAACATAACCCAATTCCAGTGAGCGTCAAGATTACTGCGTCCGGCGGCCATGAATAAAACAAAAACTGTGCAACAACTAAGTTGCCATTTTGGTAATCAACATAAATCATACAAAATGCACGAATACCGAACCTTTCAATGAAAATGTGGTCCTGTGAACTACAAAAAATGGTAAATATAGTTAAATTACCCTGTTCAAAAGTTTGCAGCATCGAAGGAAACCTAATTCATACGTGTATTTATCATATAAGGTGTTTGCTGTCATGGTAAAGACGTTTAGCTTTTGTATAACGGCAACAGTTAAAGTTATTCACTATGCACATTGAAATATGGGTCCCTTTTATGGACCACCGGAGTAGAGGAGATCGCAGCTTTTGGGTGAAAAAGGATGAAAAAATAGTAGAGATATGAATCCTCAACAAACTAACAGAGTTAATAGTAGATTTGATCACCAATATACGCCCCAAGTGAATCGTTGCTGAATTGTCAGCCAGGAAGCAGAGGGATTATAAGCTGCTTCAAGTTAAAATTCACAGTATAAGAGCCAGTAAAAGGCCTAAGGCAGCTGCTCATACTTAGAATTGCGCATCTGAAATCAGAAAAAAAATATCTACAGCAGAACTTGAAACAGAAGACGGGTCAGCTACTGTCACACATATAAGATGCTGTGAAAACAATTGCGTTCGTGTGTTCGTTTCACAAGCGTTGGAATAAAAACACAAAGAGGGGTGAATCCAAAAAAATTAAAATCAGATCATAAACAACTGACGTGTCTTTAAGAGAAGGTCCCTTCCACAATAACAGATATTTCATGCGATCCGAAACGTATAACAACGACCTTATCCGTTCATTTGTCTCAAGCACTAACGTGATCGCGATTGATACTACAGACTGGTTTTCTTCTCCCAGCCCACTAATCACTCCTTCGCTTAGTACCACATCGTTAACGTGCGGCACGGAGCAGACCGATATGTGCAATGTTGGCTGAATGAAGATGGGATAGGCATAGGAGCACAAAGTGCCTGCCACCTTTCTCCGCTCCCACCTCGCCCAAAATGTCGAGAAAGTGATCGCGTTGAGTACTGACAAAGCCCAATCAGTTTGTCACAGTGACAAAATATTAAACCAAGTCGTGCATGATGGAGAGCGAGACATAAATAACCCTCCAAGTTCCAAAAAATGAGAAAATACTGCAGGACAAATAATGCGGAAGACGAACATAATATTCATGACCAGTCAGGGATCCACATTTTTTGCATTCAGTCGATACAGGATATTGAGCTCGAATGACTAAAACTAAATCAACAAAACGAATCTACTATAAGGCAGACATCGAAAGCAAAATATAAAATCAACACGGTGAGATTTCGCAAGGAGTAGCACTACTTCGGTCAAGCACAAAAACAGGGCCGATTGAAATGAATGTACTTGGTTGGTGACCATTCCTACCTGCGAGAAGTAGCCCGGTTGCCTTCCACGCTGAATCCAACGTTTGACGCAGAGTACACAAGCGTTGCAGAGATCGCCGCACCGTCTAGCGGCGACTTCACCAAAACAGGGACCAAAGTGTTCTGCATAGCGCTCAGAAGCTGTGAAACGCGAACTAGACGACTTTGTCCCGCAAATGCAACAGCCCAACCTGCTCCGGAAATGAGCACGACCAGAACCTCTACTGGTGCCACCGCCACTCATCACTTTCGTCAAAGAATCTGTCGGAAGACAGAGCTATCTTATCAGTATGTCTAGGGGCAAGGTAGCCCAACTTCAAGGTGATTATTTGCAGAACTTAAGAATATTTTGACCTAAAATGAGCCAGTTAATATGGTGAAGGTTTCACACAAGTGTATTTCTGACTACTGTAAAATTACACACAAAAGGCGAGCATTTCTCATCTTTATATGCTTTACCACCATCTGTGTTCAACATAGACGATGCTGTGTTCGACTCTAATGCCTTCAAAAGAATAAATACCTGTCATGTCGCACAAATGACCAGTAATATGATAACATATCTCGGAATTCTCAGTATCTGCAAAAAAAATCGTAAGCAGGCTAGCATTGAAATAGACAAGCAATCAAATCACTTTTGAGACGAAAAGCATTTATTGTGAAATTAAATAGAGGAATCACGTGCTCGTTTCATATCGTGCCAATAAATAAAAACACATTTTTACTCGTGGAACACGTCAGTTCTCGGACAGTTACAGACCTGAAAATCTTGCGGATGTTTTGAGTATTGATTTAATAGTGAGACACCTCCTAAATGACAATGAATTTAGCGGTGATTCACCTGTAGCGCAGCAAAGAGCGTTTGACCTGACGTCGAACAATTTTGTTGAAAAATGCGCTATAGCTAGAGGGTAAATTCAACGAATCCGAGCACAGACCAATCAAATACCAGGGCTGAGGGGGAAGCCGGCTTTTGGAATTTCCAGGTGTTTGTCATATAGATCTTTATTGAAATAGCGTGAATAGGTTTCTGGAAAAAATGATTCATATAATCTAGGATTTAGTATGCACATATAGCGCAAAGCGTTTAAGGTCCACAGCTCAACTGTTTCATAAATTACACAGGCGTCTGCTCATCGAGTTCCTATCAGTCGTCTTTCCCCTATTGCAGATTCAAATTCTCTTGTTACTGTTAGTGTTTGTTTACTTCAAGTTGCTATCCCTTGTTTCAAGGGGAAATCCTAAAAGATTATATTAAATGTTGCCAAGCATTTTTGACTACATGAGCTGACTACCGAAACCGTCTAGCTGTAGACCTATTTTCATGATAAGCGTTTAATAATTGAAAGGTGGAATAAAAATGCCTTTTAGCAAAACTGATGCGAACTTAGTAGGCCCCAAACTAACTTCAAGCAGATGGCACTGAAATATCGAAGAGAATTTTGGCATTGACTGTTTCTTGGTTTATTCAATCCGAATTAATTGGGAGGAAATCGTGCACATAACATTGGCCGAATATATGGATTTACTAGGTTGGATTGCATGGGTGCCTTTCCAAAATCAATCAGAAAAAAACTTTATGCTATATTTGCAACAAGTCAGGCCAAAAGGGCTATATTTAATGATTGTTTAAAAGCGCACTAATTTTTAATGAAACGCGTGGAAATAGCCACAGGATAACATTGCTAGCAAACTAATTTTTGGAACAAATCATATGTAGAATATGTTTAAGTTAAGGCATATGCGATACATCTGTATGACCTTAAGTCAAATGACATTTTTATGAAACCCCAAACAAGAAGTACTTTTTAAAACTGACAATTTTGTTGGCATCAAATATAGTCACATTACGGTAAGGTGTCTTGTTACGGAGACTTTCCTTCTTAATGGCATTATTTTATATATAATCCATTTTATTGACCTTTTTGTTTGCATGCTCTGAAATAAGAAGTAGGTTAACTACTGCGTTTATCGAATACATGGGGAATAAGCACACGTCTCTCGATCGTGAAACTCTTGACATGCTTCAGAAGAAGACGAAGATGTCACCAAAGGAACTTAAGGACTGGTACAAAAGGTTTCGTAAACAGTTTCCTGATGGACAAATGAGTCGGTCTGAGTTCGCTCAGGTTTATTCTGATTTTTTTCCCGGAGGTCACTCGGATGCTTTCGCAGATATTGTCTTCAATAATTTTGATACAAATGGAGATGGTGCTGTTAATTTCACGGAATTTACTTGTGCTTTGGGGATAATCAACAATGGATCGGTGGATGAAAAAATCAACTGGGCATTCGATTTATACGACCAAGACAAAAACGGTGTAATCTCTTTAAGTGAATTGACGACCATGCTTAAAGTGAGTTTACTTTCTTCAGTTACTTTACCTTCTGCTTGCAAATTCTTTTAAGTGTGTATTCTGCCTATCTTTATGGCTAGTAACCTCATCCCCAAAACCATCGTTTTATTCCTTTTGAGTCAAATTTTAGTTATTCACATTTTTTAATAGATGGTTTTTGTTGATCAGAGTGTGTTTTGTGAGCACTACCTAATTAAAACTTATTTTGAATTTCTTCTAATAAAGCTCTATTTTGCCTCTTGGAAACCAGATTTAAGCTATGTTCTCATAGACTTGTTACTGACGCATGTTAAACAGCGTTTTGCCCTTTGTAACTACTTCAAAAGTGGCTGAAAACCATGAAAAGCAGTAGGTGTTTCGTATTAATGAATATTTGAACCTGGGCTAGCATTTAATGAATTTGTTTCAAATGTCCATAACTACTTACACTACCGTAAATGCCTTTTAATTTATTAAGTAGACGTTGAGTACTCGAGTGGTTGATTGTTAAGCGCTCCATTGTAGCTCCGCCTTTTTTTTGAAGAAATTGAATTGCTTTTAAAAATACATACATTGATTCATTGCTAACTTAAAGCATAGAATAAGTTGCCTTACTTAAGTGTTAAACCAAGTGCTTTAACATTAGAGATCAACTCATGCATATAAATGCGTTGCTAAAAGCTGCTGTTTATCATATATTGGTGTTTATTCACTTAATCAAACCATTAAATCAGAATCCCACTGCATTATTTGCTTTAGTAGTGTGGTTGCATAATGAAATTGTGAGGGCAAACGTAACTGGGCATTATCATCATCATCAACTAATAAGTAAAAGCTATGCATATATTTCCTTACTGGCAATACTATAAGTGTGTTATGACTTTGTCCTTGAGGAATAGTTTTTAATGTTATTTTAAGCTATTGTTCATGCTGTTGCCTTGATGCTATACTGTGAAGTAGAATTTTTTAAAAAATTTTACTTCTAAGTTAAGCTTTACCTAATCTTGCATAATATTGTGCTTGAAACACTGTTGGTACCGGATCAGTTTCAAGGCAAAGGAAAGCCTGAACGCCATTTGTACTATTTTTCTTAGCAGTAAGGGAGTAGAACAGGAAGTACAAGTTTATCTGATAATAAGTTAGGCCTCAAAGCCAATCGTGCAGTAGAAATAAAGGCGCATCAATCCAAACAAACTAGCTCAATAAGAGCTGAAGCTGATTTGTGTTGCATAAGAGCGTAACGTTTCATACAATCTCGTAGTAAGCCGTGTGCACATTAGTGTTTTCTATGAAGGTGTCACTTAATTTTATCAAAAGGTGATTGCCTCTTAAACAAAACTACTTGGTAAAATTAATTTCTTCGCCAAATGGATGAAAATTGCAATAGAAAAGAAATTCACTCGTGGGTGCTTGTATACTACTCACTTAATTGATAAGGAACATTTTGAGCTTAAACTTTTTGACTTCCGCCCAAATGCGATTTCACAAACCCCTTTCTCAAAATGTCAGACGCTATCTACTCATCGTTCCCTTTTTACCTTCTCTTCATTACCACAATAAAAGACCTTTTTCAAGAAAACAAATATCATATGCCTTTAGATTAGTAGGCTGTTACAGAAATGGGTGGCAGCATACTTTGGAACGGGCGAAAATTTCGCTCTTTTACTTGCAGCGCCTCTAAGACCAATGATTTGTAAATTGCCTATTTTTTAATTTAAACCTCCCATGCCCAAGTATTGCGGCTTCTTTAACAGAATCTCCAAAATCTTGGAATTTTATAAATTGTAAAGTACTGCTAACGGACTGCAAAGGTGAGATAAACGGAGCTTTTAGCCTATTCAACCGTTCCTCATGAAGTAAAGCGGTTACTTCAGCTAAGGTTGGGAAGCGAGACATGTTTTTCCACCATTTTTATTACGCTACACTAATAAGTTGAGTCGACATCGTGAAAATTTACCAAAAATTGCGCATAGCCCTATGATTGCGTTAATTTGTACCCACTGACTGATGCAGTCGGTATGAGGTGTCACGAGATGTAGAGTCAAAACAGTGTGTGCATTGTGTCATTCATTTTGTATCAAAAAAATATATATTTGAGACTTTTCTGTAAAAGTTCGTTTACTTTGTAGTAACTTTTTATGCGTGCACATAATTATTATATATATAGCAATAATGATAGGTGCAATAGTACCATTATTTAGTCTACCCAGATTGAAAATTTGTGAATATTGAGGAAATTAATATAATCTTTCTCATTTGGGAATTTGAATGATTATAACTTCCGCACATGAAGTAGTGATGAAAACCATTACTACTACAACTACTTTAATCAGGTGTAAGTATTGCTAGGCAAGTAAATGGCAGAAAGTGTTACTATTTCCTTGCAATAATAATTTGCGACTAAGAGATTAGTTTATTCTGTTACGGAAAACGACTATATAAATAGTATAAGCAGATTTTCTCTAGAACCAATTAAAATTTAACATTGCGCTATAGCAAACTCTTAAATATTGTTAATTGTATATGTGTGTTATAAGGTGTTTTTACGCGGAAAGGCTTTAGGTTGCACGTTTGTGTTTTTCTCTTCTCTTCACTTAGAAAGCGAATGCTTCCCTATCCAACAAAAATCCAAACTTAGTTGCATAATACCTTTGAAACACAAAACTGGCATCACTGAGGCTTCTGTTATTCCTTCATCAGATGTGAAGCCTACATAGAAGACATCACAGCACATCACCTTGCATAGTGGTAACTTTCGGACCCAATTTCTGCCACATGTTACACTATATTCACTCAAAATAGGAAGTGGAAAAACTTTGTCAAAGTATAATATCACGTGGTTTAAGAGGAATAACACACAAAGCATTTGAAGCTAATAAATGTAGTCCTGACGCCTTCCAATGGTCCTAGTTTTTGCCTTTATGCCTTACTTATTCAGGGTTAATTGGTGTGCAAATATGACTCGTTAGTTCACCTATTTTCACACTGTTTATCTTATATTTGCACACTCAATGACTGACATGACGGTGCTACGTACTTACGATCACCATGTAACGCTTATCCATTGCTCATGTGCGAAGGTGGATTTAAAGTGACCGATTGTGGTAAAACTATTCAATTTAGTAAAAATAAAGGACAAACCTTTCGGCTTTTTTTAAAAATCAAACAAATAATCAATGTAATACTGGTAAATAAGACCGAAATATGGAGTACCATTAGCTCATAAACAAAGGAAACCGCTTCTTAATAATATGCGAGGAAGGCCTTCTCTGAGATATTATTTATTCATGCTTCTGCATTGCCCTAGAATAGAGCATAAGCTTGCCTGAAGTCGCGCAGGCTAACAACCAAAACCGTTTGTCCTTGAAATTAGGTAGAGTTTATCATGTTCATAAAGTGAAGCAAAAGGATGTGCTAAAATTCCCAACGATAATAACATGAATTTTCGGAGTTATTTTTACTTTGCACGCATAGGCCCTCTACAAGTTGGTGGGTGTCCTTGACACAAGCCAACTGCCACCTGGTCATTTAACTCCGGAGCAGCACGCAGCGGCCATTTTTGAGAAGTTGGATGTTAATAAGGATGGAACTCTCTCGCGCGAGGAATTTATACGCGGTACCAGTGGTGATCAGAATGTAATGGCTATGCTAAAATTTACCGACCCTTGCTGACTGCGAGGCGTTGCAATTTACGGAGGTCTTCCTCTGTCCTCGACACTTTGTGATAACTTGCAAAACTCCTAAGCTCGTCTGTGACACCTCAATGACTATTACTGGCCTCAATTACTCTACCCCTCTCTCTCCCCTCACTTGACATGTATACCTTTACTACTGATAAGCAAATACGGGCGCAATAATTAAAGCCTAAATTCACACTGGATAGATTGTTTCAATGGGATTACCTTCCCTATCAGGTATTGTAGATTTTTCATGTAGACTTATTTTCCGAAAAAAGAAGCAACTGGATCATAACCCTACTGAAAAAGCCATATCCAATTTTTAAATACCAAAGTCAAATAGAATTTGTGATTTTTGCCCGCTTTGAAAAAAGGATAATTCTAGATAGGGCTTGTCCGTAAACCGTACTGGAAAACTGGTTTATTAGTGACTGTCAGACACGCTTTGCAATGTTATTTTAAAAACTTCGTATCCAAGCTTTGGGAAAAGCCAACTGGATTACAAGGTTAATCAGGCTACCTCAAGATTACACCGCTGAACTAATGGCCATTGAAACAAATAACGTTGCAACGCACCCTTTCAGCTGCAAAATACGACCAAATAAGACATAAAAGTTAATTTATTCTCATGGAAGAATAAAATTTTTGGTCTGAAAAAGGTGCAAAATAACGGACGTCCACATTGGAATGGTGGCTTGTAAAGGGTAAACAAGATTGGGACATGTTAATCATAAATGCGGGGCTTTACGCGCGTGATCCCATCAGTCAACCCGCCTGTAAGCGCAAGCTCATGTATTGTTTGCTACTTCTCCGTGCCCGGAATGCAGTGCACAAGCAAAAGTATACATCACACAAACAAAGTCCCTTTCAAATCTGATGAGGCTGGTTTTGTGTGTTCACACCCATTTGAATTGTCTTAGTTGCCACGTTGTCATGATTACTTTTTGCAGGTGAGCCAACATAAACATGCATAAAGACTACAAAAGCTTTTTTAACAAGTAAAGTCAAGTGGATTGATGTTGAGTTTCAATTTTTCACATTTGTGTGGACATTGTCAATCCGCTCTACAAGCTGTACTTGGGTTGTTGTAGAAGCAACACCTTCAAAGTTGATATAGTTCGCTCCGAGTGCGATTGCCTAAAAAAATTTGGGAATTTGCACATAACTATGCTATGACTTGCCTTATTTTTAAAAAAAGCTGCCTTTCTTCGGTGATAAAAAACTTATCAAAAGTTCAAAAAAACAGGAACGCACGGAATCTGATTAGGAGAAATAGCAATTACCTTGGATAGCGACTTGATAATACCTTAGCTTAATATACAAATACTGTGTCTGTTCCTAATACTCGTGAACTTGGAAATACCATTTATGCCAGTTTTTACCTGCATCATCTCAGCGAGAAGAGGTAGTATATCCTCATCGCGGCCATTCCATTAATTTCCTCAGTACAAAGCGCATTTTTACTAAAAGGGGTGTCCACAAAAGTGAACTTACCACTGATAGAGCTAATTCGTTTTCCTTCATAGATACACAACCCCTAGCTAGGCAAGCTTAGATTTTCTTCTTTTGTCCGTCTTTAACAATGAAAAGAACGATCCGAAATCCCCCTCCACTTTTGATGTCACATTAGATTAAATAAGGCATTTTATTGCTTGATGTCAAGCGTTTTTACAGTCTCTCAGCTTGTGGTTAGATGAATGCTAATTCGTGGGTCCACTAAAAAAAAATGAAACGCTGATTATTTTTAGCAATTAAAGTGAACAAGAAGCGTAGGTAAAAGGCTAAATTGTCACTGAAAATATTTTGAAGTCATTGTCTCAATCAATTTGGCATACAATGCAGAGCTTTCTAGCAGGGAAGTTTATTTAGAAAATAGGATGAATTCGTGTGAGTAGGTTTAGGCGAGCTTGTGGACAAGATAAAACCGTCAGTTGCGCCACGATTCCCGTTTGATAGCAGTGGTCGTACAAGAGAGGCACTTGTGAAATACACGCATTGAATTGTCTCATCATTTGCAATATCGCGTATGGATTACAATAAAAAGTAGCTTAAGACACTGGTTAGCAAATGAATACATGAAAAATTGTGATACTTGCACAAATGACCAACCCTTACAACTGATTGTCCCAGTGACTAACTGCTCATAGCTTTTCGTGTAGATCATTGCAATACGTAATGATAGTCAGAGTTGTTTACTTACATTTCAACCAAGAGATTGCCTAAGCGATGTCTAGTAAAAGGCAACACCCTGTGTGGGCTTTAAAGGTGTCGCAAAACTGGTTATGTTTGACACCCTAAAAGCATACATTCTGTCACGGGAGGTCGAATTGTGCAAATGGATCATTTGTGAAATGCTAGGTGTTGAAGGCAGTCGAAATACCGTTCCCATATTCCTTGCGCCTGAAGAAGCACGTACTTCAACAGGGCGACAATCGTCAAGGTTTTTGATGGTCCCTTAAAGCTTCAACCAGGCATGTCAATCTCCAGTCCGGAGGGGATTTGTAAGCATTTTTATCTGCGGGTAGGCTCGTAGAAGATTCACATACACGCACACCATCTCGTCAGCACTTTCAAAGGCTCCTTTTGTCGGCTTATACTTACCCTCGTGTATAAACGACTAAAAGGTGGGATTTTCCTCTTTTTATTTTACTAGTGGAAGGCTAAAAATAGCAATCGAAGAGTATTTTTGATTTTGAAAACCCGTTGTGTAGATAAATTTTGTATTTTCCATATTTGACAGGTCATCCAAAACATTTACTTTCATTTCCGTTATAGCGGATAAGTCACATTTATAAAGCACCAACAATTAGGGCGTTGAAAACTTTTACCCTGTTTATTTGTTTTAAAAATGGGAAAATTGCGAGAATAGGCTGCAAATAACCGTGGTGTCAGCTCATTTAGGGAAGCAAAGCTCTCGCAGATTGTGAAAATTTCAGCTACGGTCCTGAGAAGCTTTGAATCTCAAAATTAATCAGTAAAGGCGATTGGAGGAGTTGCATGAAATTAACAAGTAAATGTGGAGTTTCACTTTGTGTTGTTTTGTCCAAATAATTTAGAAAAAAAGAGTCAGATTTTAAAAGTTGGAAGCTTTATTTAAGTCGCAGCAACCAAGGTGAGTCAAGTCATGAATGAGGTTGTATATTCCCCATGGATAAGCAACAAATTTATGATTAAAATCAAAGAAAAGTCTTTTCTAAAATTACAAGAATAATAAATCATATTAATTGGTGAATTCAAGAGGTAATGCGGAATGTAGTGACATTAAAATGCGCTTCACCTTCTCAGTGTACTGTGTTATGGATGCAGTTTCACATGAAATAGCATAAAATATACTAAACATGTCATTATTTCATGTAATGGGATGCATGCCTCTCTATATCGTGTATCAAATTACCCTAAGTATTCCTTCGGTTCGGGTGCTTCAAAATGCGAAGACAAGCTGTAGATAAAGTGGGCAACACAAGTTAGGCATCACTTCTTAATAAGATGTTCACGGCTCGCCGACAAATGACAGGTAAAGGGTGTTTTCAAGGCTCCTTTCACGCAGGAAATTGGTTGCATGATCCAACATTTGCCCCACCTTATCAATGACAGGCGGTTGGAACACCTTTACAAAAGTTAATTATGCGCTTTATTGAGGTGAAACACCTTTGACAAGTCACAATGCACGTTTGTGATAAAACCCAACCCTCCATTATCATTAGGTATGCCAAGTTAGACCGTGTAATGCCAAAGAATTAGTAAATTGCATAACTTCTAATTGTCGCCTTACCTCTGAGTAAAGTCTTGATTGGGTTGCCTAAAGTAAAAGGCAAAAGACGTGAAGGAAAACTAGTAAATGACTGCGAATTTATAATATTTGTACTAAATTTTAGTCATCAAAATTTAATCTGTGAGAAAAGTTCTTTACTTTGCGCCATCAAAAAGCCTCCAAACAGTTTCTTCTACAATGACGCAACAAGAATTAGAGCGGACATACAAGATCTGTGGCCGAGTATACACTTAATTTACTGATGTTATACATAACTACAATACGCCAAAAGTTGTCCACCCATGCCACCTACCAAATATGAAAAAAATGTGTAACAAAGTGTAGCGGCCCAAGACTCCCTGAAGACGACGAAAGAAGACACAATACTTGGGCAGAATATATATATATATTCAGCACAGAAAAGGTGTTTGGACCACTGGCATGACCCGAAGGCCAGCCCACCCAGCGAAGTACAAGGAGGCTAATTCAAAGCACAAAAGTGGCGCCTCACCAATACCGAGAAATAAACCACTAACGCATTACATAGCCTCTCTCCTCTTTTGAGCGTCGTCGTCCCCGGCGCTCCCGCAGGTCAACCTCCCGCGTCAGCCGTTACAACGTAGTCGATGCTGTAAAGAAACACCCACGAGCCGACCGTACTAGTCACCAAATTAGCGTCGCTGATCCCTCTTGGCAGCTTAACTGGATCTGGAGTTTTGTCTGGTTTAGGAACCTGATTTAGGACGGGGGAATTGGGCTAACCATCATGCGTGTCCATAGATGGATGTAGGGCCACTGGCCCAAAATGTATATTTGTGTAAGGTAGGACAAGATTTAAAACAGGTCCATGGGCGACGGTAGGGAAAGTCCGCAACGAAACTTCCAGATGGTTCACGGCTAGTGTCGCTTCAGTTGTTAATAGCTCTCCTGCAAAACAGGGACTGGGGTAGATGCCGAAGGTAGACGCCAACATCAACCCTTCTATTAGGGGTCATCATCATTCTCCCATCCGCAGCATATGTACTCCTTCCGCTCCACTAAGGTATATCACACAGAAATGGAAGATCAGGATACATGTGCTTTAAGATCGGGTTCGCTTTCCGCTGCCACCAATGTAGTGTCTCGGGCAGAATATATATTCAACACAGAGAAAGCGTCTGGGCCACTGGCATGACCCGAAGGCCAGCCCACCCCGCGAGGTACAAGGGAGCTAATTCAAAGCACAAAAGTGGCGCCTCACCAATACCGAGGGATAAACCACTATCGTATTACAAAAGAGTATGATTTTTTTTATTTTTGGAATATCGTTAATTGGAGGACAAACTTTCCTGCTTTAATGCAATCATATGTAAAAGATTGGCATAGGGCTACCCACAAAACCCAAACAATTCACACGACAGGTAAATATTTCGTGAATTTTCTAAACCGTATGAGATTTAGAAAATGCTCTCAATCTATGACTTGCAGCGGCAAATCAGACGTGCGCTACTGACCTGCATTTGATTTCACCGAGTAGGCAAACAAGCCCATTCTTAGCCTAATTTGTCTTTAGGGATATTCAAAAAACGGATTTGAAATCCAAGGAGTGCAAGCCGTGACAGCAACAATGTGATGGACTTCAGTGCGCAAGGAACAACGAGAGAGACGCCCTTTGTGTGCACATGCTGTAGCAAGCCACGGAAGAGTAACATTTTTATTGAAAGCCCCATGACAATGGGAAAGACAGACAGTAGGCAATTAATGTCTAACGA